AGAAATTATATTTGCGTAGATTGCCTTCTAATTAGAATTATATTACAATTATCCTACGTCGCAAGAAATTAATTGATTGCATATATCAAGCGAATAATCGATTTTTCAGCGAAATGGAAATGGTTCATAGAAATTCTACCTCGGCGTCACACTCGGCGTCTCCGTATAGCTTTGCAAAAACAACCGCACCGAATCAGTCTGTACGACTTTACAGCACATTCCAAAACTCGTCGGTATTCACCTACGAGAGCCGAGTTGTACGACTCGACTGACTCACAATTGCCACGCCTTCGCTCGAGCCGAGTATAATACTCTTTGTTGCATCGCGCGGGAAACGTTGCATCTCGAGACAGCGTGTCGTGCTCCGCCGAAGTCTCGATTAGGCTAAATTAAACTAAAAGGTGAGACGAGTCGCTCAAGTTGTACGTCGATCGGTATTTTCGTCATTGTCGCGTATATTTAGATTACATAAAAGATTTACAATGCGTTCGACGTTAAATTTCATCGTTTTAAACAGATCCATACTTGGTGTCCAACGAAACACTAGAGATATCTCTCAACTTTGCATGTTCTAATTGAAAGAAGAGACAAGTTAAGTATTTATTCGGAGAGAAAGTAGACTGCACTTTATGCCAGGGAGAGCATATCGTATCTTCGTGAAATATTCCGTCGACCGGCGTGACTTACGATTACGTTACGCATTTTCGTGCGCGAAGATTGTTTATCTACGCATACTGCATAAATACTTCTGGGATTGAGAAATTCATAAAGCATTCATGAAGTTTTAATTGAAGCTCACGTTCTTATTAATTTCTGCGGTACTATATATTTTGAACAATAAAATTCATGTCTCTGACGTGAAATCACAATTCGAAAGAATAAAAGATATAAGAGCCAAGGATAAAAGTTTTTGTGTATGTTACAATATACAAAAATTTTCAATAATTGAGGCACTATTGCAACAGCATATTCCTGAGACCAAATCAAGTAAAAAGTCCTGTACTACTTTTCCCTCCGACAAACAGTTATCGCGATATCATAAGCTAAATGTTGAAAAAGTTTTCAATTTTCTCTTGAATATCTCAAAAAGTATTAGGCAAATCAAAAAATGTTTCGGACAAAAGTTGTCCATATTTTGTTAGTAGAATAAGATAGTATAATAAACAATAGAGGATCCCATTAAAAAATATAGAGGTGACCTTAAAATCTCCGAAGCGCCTGCACTTTTAAAAAAATATTACCAACATATTACGGCTCCCTTAATATAGTACAACTTTCGTAATTGTAAATTTTCCATACCTCTAAAAACAGCGGAGATATTCGAGGTGGACAAAGTTATTGCCTCCTCGTATATCCGTTTGAACCGCAGATACAATATGAGAATCTTTGCTTTACTGATATGCTAATTGCGGTGAGAATCTTTTACGCCGTTACGCATCTTTAATCTAAAACATACGTGCAATTAAATCGCACGCTCCACAAACTTGATCCTTGCTAGACGACATAATATCAGCTCATTGAGCGCAAAACTGCATTAACTGTCCAGATTGAACCGACAGTTACCAAGTGTGTTATATTTCCCAGACGTGGATGAAAGAGACCGGTAGCAAATTAACTGACAATTCAATGGCATTAGCCGACTAACGGATTAATCATTCTATTTTCGTAGCAGACGTATTTCTTTCCTGATATCCTCAAAATGCGCGGCACACTTTCCCGGACGATCGCGGTCGTCTCGCAGATGTCCCGTAAGGATACGTCCGCGGTATTCTTACGAATGATGTATGCAGGTTGTTATGCTTTCTAACGGCAATTCGCCAAATTGTTCCGAATGGTCTACATTAGTCCGCAATTCGTCATGAACACGATACGTCCAATCGGGACCCGCGTTTTCGGTTTCCCGTGGTGAATCCCGGCCCGCGATGAAAGCCGTTACGTTATTTCCATGGCTTTCTAGCCATTTAACGTAGATCAGATCCTCGATCGCATTAAGCGAAAACAGGGTAACGAGACTAACGGATTAATCATTTCATTTCTAACTGCTGAGCGCGTGGTTTCGCGGGTCACCGGCCTTGCTCGGCGACGTTTAGCCGAATAATCGTGCACAGGGAAATTGACAATTGTCAACTGTCCGTTTTCTGTTCTAAAAGCAATAGACTCGAATTTACGGAGGCAAGGATCTATGAATCGAAAAATTCGGTTAAATAAAAATTGTTTTTAAATTTATCAAGTGTAATAATCATAACGGCAAGTTTTGGATCTTAGTCTACAAAATCATAGACTCAGTAGTTTCTTGACCATATCTGGCATTTTTAATAATACAGAAAATTTATTGCGAAAAATATTACCTCAGCCAGGGTTTAAACTTCCCTACGCTCTAGGCGGGCGTCTCACCAATTCGACCACTGAGGCATGTGCTAATATTTATCGCAACAACAGTATAAAAATTATCTTCGCGTCTATTTTTCGACTTTAAACTGTGCTCCGATTTCTAAGGGATACTTAAAAATCGCGTATCAATGAAAATTGCAAATCCATAATTTCTCGTAATATTAACAATTCCTATCTGGCGAACGCGTCAGCATTTGTCCCGTACAGGAAGATTGACTTCCGGTAATTCCGTCATCGAAGCGACTTCAATGGACTGCCATTTATGTTTATACTTAGGCAACATCACGCCTTACGCATTTCGCATGCGGGACACGCGGATACGTGAGTTCCTCGGATATACCGCGTGCCCGTATATCGCGGAAAAACTCGTACGAGATGTGAGTGCCAATTGATTCGCCAAAATCTTCAAGCTAATACATATTTTTAAATCTCTATTATTTTGAATGATTACTATTTTGACGAAAATTTTGCCCGATAAAGAGAGCTTTTATTAAAATCTTTGGTTTCGGAAAAATTAATTTCAATTCTATAAAAATTTTTCGCGTGGAAATATTTTATAATGTATTTTTCTATTTTTCCTCTGCAAGTACCGAGCATTATCTTCTTTTTCTATGAATGCATGATTATGTAATTAAACTTTTAGATCTAAGATCAAAGATAAATTAAATTTTTAAGTTGAAGAATTTTTAGTAATCTTACAACCCTTGATCCCGTAAATTTTGTACTTAATTACCCTCACATTTTTTGGTTTTAGAAGCGGGATAGTCCTCGTTTATCAATGTTCTCAAATTTCGAGTTTTCCACAGTATCTTAGAATCTGCGACTGACAAGGAGTGCACTATACTTACAGCGAGTAGGATCGATGTGACAGCCGATAAATAATGCATGATTCCCATTCGCACGCGGCGTTGTAAGGTTGTACTTGCGAGATGACAACTGGCTGTCCTCTTTGGAGGAAAAAAGATCGCGCTCGCGCACCACGGTAAAAATCTCTTCGCACTTTCTTTCACGGGAATAAAAATGAATATCCGTGTAATCCCAGCAGTGAAGAACCGAGTGTTGGCGGCATCCGACATTTATGGGAACGGGTACTCTTAAGGTCTAAATTTCGAATGAGCAGAAATTGCACGAAAGGATCCGCGAAATTGTACTATCAAGGATTTACGTGATTTTACTAGAGTTTTTATGAAATTAACATTCTGGTATCATATTCTACGGAATATACAGGAGACTTTTTTGGTGTCAAGGATCTAAGGAACGTAGATGCTCATAATCAAGTCAAGAATTAACGACACCGCGTGGACCAAGGTTCTATAATATATGTAAATTGTGCACGTGAATGAATACGAGCGAGTCCTTTCTCACGCGTAAGCGCTCGTGACAAAATCATAGTTTATCCTTGGAGATAATGGCACGCAGAGAGAGGCGTTATGTAACACGACGTGTGTGCTCGCGATGATAAATCGCGCTTTTCTCATGGGCAATCTCACTCGCGAGTGCTCGGCTCGTTCCGGAGAATGACTCGAATGAGCGGCTTTATCAAGCAATAACAAAGATTAAGAATTAGAAAAATTTCGCATATATATTTAATATATTTACAAAGACTTTAACACATCTTTATTCTGTTATTGCGATAAATATTACCACATGCCTCGGTGGTCGAATTGGTGAGACGCCCGCTTAGAGAGGTCCAGGTTCAAACCCTGGCTGAGGTAATATTTTTCGCAATAAGTTTTCTGTATTATTAAAAATGCCAGATATGGTCAAGAAAACACTGTAGTTGTTATAAAGACTTTAAATTGAACGTTTAATATATTAAGCAAGGTGCAAAGGATATATAAATAGTAGGAATAATCTTTTATTCTTAAAAACTACTTAATTTAATTATGTTTTTAATGATATGATAACGTTAATTAAAATGCAAGCTACTGTAAAAACGTTAAAAAGCTTGTCCACCGATTATCCGGTCCGCGGTACGAGCGACAAAAGATTAAACACTCTCGTTGATAATGCACCTATCTTGTAACATATTGCAGTCGATAATAAAAATTAGAGTGAACTCATAAGCTAGTCACTCTGTTCTCTTTTTTTATCTCTCTCCATCTCGCTCACATTCTCTTCACTTGTTCAGAGGATTATGGAGATACTGAGATTACGAGCGTACCACGATACAAAGAATTCGGTCTCATACAATGTCATGAGAAAAGAACTTTTGTTGGGGAGAATCAAAAAATTGGATTGTACAAAGAACAGTTTTGCAGACTTTTATATAAAAAAAAATTCTCCTGTCTCACTTCTCTGTTTAATTATATTCATTAGTAAATAACCACATTTATAATTACACATGACAGACATGACAATAGAACGACACAAATTTTTCTTTTCAACAATTCTTTTATTAGATAATTAAAATCAAAATATTTTCTCCTATATTGTAATATTCCAAGAATTGAGGATCTGCGTTTGCGATGACCACAATAATCGATGAACCGTATGACCAACGATCCATAAAATTTACAAGGTCTACGAAACCAGTAACGTTAAACGAACACCATTCCTCTGATCTGAAGATCTTTCACATCAGACTTTATGACTTTTCTCTGTTACAGTCCTGGCCACTCTGTTGGCCATCACCCAGGAAGTTCCCCAGAATCCCAGACATCAAAACTATGAGGAGTATCCTCGCGAGGTCTACTTCAACGGCTCGGCGTTCTTGAAATTGGGCTCCTTCGTATCGGTGCACCGTCATAGTGGCCTCAGCTTCCGCACGTGCGACCCCGGTCGACTATTCCTACAGAAGTACGATGACAATTCAATTAGTCTCGAGGTGACACCCGAGGGACTGCTCTTCGTGGCTGTGGTCGATCAGCTGAGATATCGAGCCAGACTAAACGCTAAATTGCTCAACAACGCCTGGCATAGCGTCAACCTGCTCTTTAGGCTCGGCAATCTCACCCTCAATGCTGCAGGACACACTCAGGTAAATTCTGATTAAGGATACAAATTCATATGTAATAGAGGCATAAATAAAAATGTACAGAATTACATTTTTATTTATATACTGTATTTCATATTAAATATTCATTGATCAAAGATCTAGATGTGTTAGGTCAATCTTAATTTTTAAGAGAGACACAAATGTATTGGAAACGTTTTCTCTAGATGGTCGCGAATGCGACTTACAATTCCGCCATCCTAACGCTTCCCGATTACGACGTGAACAGTTCGCTCATAGTCGGCGAAGGATTCAGAGGTTGCATTTTGCAAGGACCCGGGATCATCTTCAACAACAGTGTCAATAACGGGGCCGTTTTTGGACCCTGCCCGTTGGATACCAAAGGATGTAAGAATCTGTAATTCTTTTACTAGTAATAATTTTTTTTTAATTTATCGTAGAGTATTCTTGCACCGATAAGCGTTGAGTCACACACGAGTATGCTAGATCGATAGCGTAGTTGCTATACGAGTAAATAGAACACTCTTTGGCCAATATTATTAGGTAAGTCATTGAGTGATAACGTTGCAGCTGTAGATCAATACCATGCACCTCGCAAATAAAAACATTCTTAGACAAACTCAAAATTATCAAATGATAACAGTAGGCTAGATCACGATATCAATATGAAACATTTCAAGATAAACGAACAAGTTGGAAAAACATACAAATTTTGCTCAAATTTATATAATCTTCCTATTTTATTTTTATTTTATATTACGTATTCTCATCATTAAAAACAGGAAGAATTTTGTTTGTCTCTTTCTTTTAGGAACAGATTTATCATGTTCTTGCATCATTTTTTCAACTCAAGCTACTTTACGACAGGGAGGCAGAAAAAGAGACAAGAGAGTAAAAAAGTATTTTAAATGCAACGTCGCACGTGTTTTTTTTCTGAGTAAAATGCACACATTGCATGTGAGTTTCGTGAAAAACAAGACATTTTCAGGTGGAACGAGGGGCCTCGGGGGTGGCACAGGGGCATCCGCTGCTACGGTCCCCACTGTGGATTTCTGCCACCACGAGCCATGTATGATGCACGGTAAATGCGTGTCGCGGCAGGATCGCTACGAGTGCCACTGTTTCGCCCGATACTCCGGCAACAACTGCCAGATTGACAATGGTAGAGCTCGTCGATATCTTGAATATACGGGGTTTACGGCGCGTATGTGGGGCGAGCGGATTCATACCCGACGCGCGCGTTAAACGGCGATGTTACGTCACGTAATTACGCCATGATGAGTAGATATTGTCCTATCGTAGATTTACATCCAATTTTTCATGAATTTATTGACCTTGAAGTAAAATCTATTTAGTGGAAAATTGATTGTTAGATCGTGTAATCGTTACGAAAAAAGATTTGCGATTGAATTTGGACGTTAAAAACTTACAATCTCATGTTAGACTCCTATCTCGTAATAGAGGACTTTCCTCTACGTGTACATACAAAATGAAATATTAATTGAGAATTAAAATATGAGTGAAAAGTCAACTGGAAGATTTTCTTTTAAGTACAGTTTAGTGACACTTTGTAGAACTACTCCATAACAGGACGATACATCAATGAGAAATTAAAGAATTAAATTAAATGTTTTAAGAAATAATTTATATATATTTTTGCAATATTAGAATATTTAATACTAACGTAATTTTTCTTGTAAGAGACTAGAATTTAATATAATTACGTCGCTGCGATAAATTGAATATGAAATCTGCATCTTTCTTCTTTACTGGTTCTCGCCCATCGTACATGTAGATCTGTTTTGCTTTGAAATAATCTGTAGAAATTTATAGAAACGCTTTTTGCCTCGCATTCAGACATTTGCTTCAAAATTAATACTCGCTCATTACTTTAGTAGATAAATGTTGCTTTGCTATCTTTTTCCCCTTCTTTAAACGATAGACAATTTTCCTCAAGAAAATTACCTCGAAGTTAAATAAGATAGGTTTGCAAAATTTGTTACACGTTATTATTGCACGCATAAAAGATAAACGGATATTACAATATGCCTAACGTTTATTTCTAATAGTTGCATAATATTTTTCCTCCGTCTACATTTCATATAAAAAATTAATTATTTATAACTTTTAGATTGATTATTGTGTTCTTCTAATTTATAATTATATTTATTATTACAAATGTAACTATATAGATACAACAAATATAATTAAAAAAGGAACTTTTCACTTTTGCATGCAGTTAATCAATTGCAATTAATATCGCCTCACATCTGCTTCTTTCATCTTTGTCTCTCTAGGAAAATATTTTTGATAAGAAATCGAATTGCTTTCTCAGGTTCACCCTGTCAGAGTGGACCTTGTCGTAACGGTGGTACCTGTAACGAAGACGCGCGCGGTGACTTCGGTTGCAGTTGCAAACCCGGATTCACCGGCAACTTCTGCGAATCTCAGCTAGGAGTACGATTGTGCGAACAGAATCCATGTAGAAACAACGGCACTTGTATCATGGCACTAATAGGTAGCGAGTACAAGTGCCTCTGTCAGGCTGGTTGGTCTGGAAAGAATTGCGAAACTAATATCAACGAATGCACTTCGAATCCATGCAAGAACGGTGGCATCTGCATCGACGGAATCAACAATTATACCTGCAGATGTGACAGAACTGGGTGAGTCTCTTGAAGAAACTAAAGTAAACTTGAAATTTCAGTCTATACAATTCGTATCTTCAGTATCGTTCAACTTGCTATTTTACTCCATCAAGTTTTCGTCTTCACGGACTATTATCTCTTTGCATGAAATTGGAGATTTTGAAATCTTTTACAAAGATGATTTATTATTCTGCAAATTCTTACATAACTTTACACGTTCTTGATCACCGTTGGCGCCTCACAGGAGATTTTATACACGTCCTAAGATTTTTACATTTCTGTAAATCTTAAATTCTGTAAAATATCGAGCTCATGGATTTCAAATTTCAAATTTCATAGAAATGTAATAATTTAATAGACAAATTCTTAAATTTTTCCATGTATGGAACGTCTGAAACATTTTCTATTTCTTCTCCTCAGCTACGAGGGGATTAACTGCGACGTAGACATCGACGAGTGTCAGGCGAACCCGTGTCTGAACAACGGCGTGTGCTATGATTATTACGGCGCCTATATCTGCCACTGCCCGGCTGGCTTCGAGGGTCAGAATTGCGAGCTTAATTTGAATGAGTGCCTGTCCGAACCCTGCGCCAACGGCGGACAATGTGTCGACGATGTGGGCACTTACCACTGTGAGTGCCTTCCAGGATTCATGGGTCGCCACTGCGAGCTGAGGGGTCTGTGCGAAAACGCGGCCTGTCCTCCTAACAGCATCTGCATGGAGGATGCCCATGGACCTCAATGTGTCTGCAATCCCGGTTTCATGGGTAATCCACCTAATTGCACTGTCAACTACTGCGCTAGCAACCCTTGCGCCAACGGTGGCACTTGCACCAGCGGCAGAGATGGTTTCAACTGCACGTGCCCGCCTGATTGGAAAGGTAAAAATTTATTCCGACTGAAATTTATTCGCTCCAATGTTGCAAAATTGTTATCGACTTTGACATTTTTACGTATAAATGACAAGTTACCTATTTTAATTATAAATGTATTTTTTTCCTTCTTCAACGAGGCAGGTTTAATTTCCAATAATTTACCGTAAATATAAGAACTATTTTTAATTATTACATTAATATCGATTTCTCAAAACGCCTAGAATGTTTTGTCTGAAAGAGAGCGATGCTTTTGCAGGGAAGAACTGCCAGATCGACGTAGACGATTGCCTATCACAGCCATGCCAGAATGGTGGTATTTGCATCGACCGTGTCAATGGATACACCTGCAACTGCACCAGAAACTTCGTGGGTGATAATTGCGAACGAGAATACGATGCATGCTTCGCAAATCCTTGTCAGAACAATGGTAGCTGTACGCTGATGCCAAGAACGAGGAGGGAATTCGTTTGCGAATGTCCGCACGGTTTTGAGGGCAAGGTATCGTAAATTATATACATATACAGTTACTTTTATCTATTTACTTATATTTTAATTTATATAAGCATAGATGTTATGTTATACAAGAGAGATTTCGATGCCAAAATGTAAATTTAATTAAACTTAACACGATATGATTTTCAAGGTGTGCGACGTGAATATCGATGATTGCGTTAGCGTAGTGTGCCCTGATGACAAGGTTTGCGTTGACGGTATCGCTGATTACGAATGCAAATGTCGCGAGGGCTATAGAGACCCGAATTGCACGCTGATTGTGGATCACTGTGCGGCAAAACCGTGCAACAACAATAGCACGTGCATTGACCTCGGCGAGCTTGGCTTCGAGTGCAAATGTGTAGAAGGCTTTCAAGGTAAGTATCATTGAATTTCATGTAAATCTTTTCTAGTAAACCTTTTTATTATTTCTAGTAATTATTTTTAATTGATTAATTTATTATTTTTTATCATTTAATTTAATTTTATTTCATATTATTTTTATCTCACTTTAAAAAACAGAACCGCAATTTAAATTATTCTGGTTTGTACTTTATCTCTTTAATTACTTTTCCCTAATTACGCTTTTAAAATTTGGTTATAATTTCTGTTACATTAATTTAGTCTTACAGTTTTATCTAATTTATATACGCATCAGAATTACTTTAGACGTGTGCATTTAAATACTTATTAGAAAAGGGAGCTTTTATAACTTATCGGTAAAATAGAATAATATTCGAAAAACTTTTTTACAAAAATTGAATTACATTCATTAAATATCTCCCGCAGGACAATATTGCGATCTCGATGTGAATGAGTGTGAATTACTCGGTAATTCTCCTTGCAACAATGGGATTTGCATCAATACCGAGGGTAGCTACAACTGCTTCTGCCGACCAGGCTTCTCTGGTGATCATTGTGACATCAACATCGACGAGTGCCTGTGCGGTCCATGCAAGAATAACGCTACGTGCCTCGATGGCATCAACATGTTCCAATGTATATGCCAGCCCGGTTACACCGGCAAAACCTGCGAGATAGACGTGAACGAATGCGACAGCAACCCGTGTCACAATGGGGCGCAATGCATAAACGGTATAGCATTGTACACGTGCGTGTGCCCAGCAGGTTTCCTCGGTGCTAATTGCGAGATCAACATCGACGAATGCGAATCGTCACCCTGCATGAATAAAGGAAAGTGCATCGATGGCGTAAACGACTACACCTGCGACTGCAACGATACCGGTTTCGAGGTAGAGTCTCTAATTATTACATTTAATCTTTTTATTTAATTTAACTTGTCGGAAATCTTCAAAAGTAAATTGATTTAATTTCTTCAATTGTTGCTTTTAATTATATTTAACTCAAAATTACATTATATACTTGAATTTTAATTTATTCTTACATAATTCTATAATCTATTTAAAGTAAGAGTTTTATTAAATTATGATCTAAAATTATTTCAACTCTGATTTTTAAGGGTCCACATTGTGAAAATAATATCGACGAATGTTTGTCACGGCCGTGTATAAATGGCGGACTATGTCTGGACGACATCAAGAGTTACAAATGTCAATGTTATACCGGCTACACTGGTAAGAACTGCGAAGTGGACGTGAACGAGTGCGAGAGCTCGCCCTGTCAGTACAATGGCACTTGCCTCGAGCGATCAAACAAAGATCTTTATAAAAGCGAGGCCCTGAACTTACCAGCGATCTTTACTCAAGAGTTCAGTTACGCCAATGCCAGCGGGTAAATCTTTAAATAATTCTTTCAACTATATTCAGCTTTCCTCTATTTTGTTAATATTTAGATACCGTTTTCTTTATTTCTTAATTTATTTTGCCATTAATTTTGAGCAGATCTTATTTTACTTCAAAATTTTATTCGGAACGTAAAATGTATAACGTTGCGGTTTAAGAAGATGACTTGAAATCTGTAACTCTTAAAATATCTTTTATATGTTTCATCCAATATCAAAGGATAAATTCTTGAAATCTACGATAGGTATGAGTGCCTCTGCGTGCAAGGTGTCACCGGCAAGAATTGTGAGGTGAACATCAATGAGTGTGACAGCAATCCCTGCGGTCCAGGTACCTGTATGGATCGTATCGGCGGCTACACCTGCGAGTGTGACGAGGGTTACGAAGGAGATCACTGCCAGCACGAGATCGACGAGTGCAAAAGATACAATCCCTGCGAGCATGGAGTGTGTACCGATGCGAAAGCCGACTATTTTTGCACCTGCGAGCCGGAGTATGGTGGCAAAAATTGTTCGGTAAAGCTGATGGGTTGTCAGGGCAACGCCTGCCAGAACGGTGGCACTTGCTGGCCCTACTTAGTCGATGAGACCATCCACAAGTTTAACTGCACCTGTCCCAACGGTTACCACGGCGAAGTCTGCGATTATGTAAGTGTTTATATTTCTCTCACGAAGTAAATATTTTTTAAATAATTTTAAATACAATTGTAAGCTTTTAAAAACTATTTTCTCGCAACCATCCTTATAACTCACAAATTTTTAAATATTTAATAAAATTTCTACTTAATGCACACATTTTTTCTATTCTTATTATATTTGAAAAAATTTCTAACTAATGATTATTAGTTATTGAACACAAAAGTATTTATCATTCACTTAATTATGCTTTATCGCACTTGTTAACTCTTTCTGAAGCGCTTCTGGCGGAAGAAGGTGCGTAAATGTGTTCCGCTTGTATAAACAATTTGATAAATATCTTAAGAGTACTATTACTTGACAAATTCACAGGTGACAACCATGTCTCTAAGCGGCAGCTCGTACGTCCTGGTAAACACCACGCGCGACGAGGGCTACGATATACAATTTCGCTTTAGGACTACCCTGCCGAATGGTCTCCTGGCGATCGGTAGAGGTGTGACCATTTATATTCTCCAGCTGGTAAACGGCAAACTCAATATACATAGTAGCATCCTGAATAAATGGGATGGAGTCTTCGTCGGTAGTGGACTCAACGACTCCAACTGGCAGAAGGCCTTCGTAGCCATCAACTCGAGTCATCTCGTCCTTTCGGCCAACGAGGAACAGACTATCTACCCCATCAGCCCGAACGAAGGCTCCAACTCATCGAATCACACATCTTTCCCCACGACTTTTGTGGGCGGGAGTCACATCAGCTCCCTGAGCTTCCTGAGAAGATTGTCTCGCTTACCCTCGTTCACCTTTTTCGTCGGCTGTATGGAAGACGTCGTCATCAATGGCGAATGGGTACGTCAGTCTGTTGATAATTTCGATTTGCTGTGATTTACTTCAATTAATAATTAGGGCGTTCAATGTCTTAACTGCATTGTCAATCTGCATCATTTTTCCATCTACCAAATTTTCAAAGTCAATTGCGATTTATTTATAATTTTAACAATTAACGTTCCATGTCTTTAAAATTGATTCCAGGTCTACTCCGGCACCACGTCGAAAACCGTATACATGGAGGATGTGGAGCCGGGCTGTCCTCGCGAGGCTCAATGCTCACCGAATCCTTGTAAGAACGGCGGCCACTGTACCGATCGTTGGCGTGACTTCTACTGCAAGTGCGAGCGTCCTTACCTCGGTCACACCTGCCAGTACAACATGACAGCCGCTACTTTCGGCTACGAGAATATCACGAATGGTTACGTGACTGTAAGAGTCAGCGACGCTGTCAGGCGTACCGTCAGCTCGGTCGTTGACATCTCCATGTTCATTCGCACACGGGAGAGTTACGGTGATATCTTCTACCTGGGCACGGAACTGGATTCTCAAGTCGATCAGAAGCCCCAAGAGAAGACCTACATAGCGGCACAATTGGAGGGCGGAGAGCTGCTCGTCAGGATTCAATTTAACGGCACAGAGGCCTATACCGTCGGCGGCGTGAAGCTCAACGATGGAAACAATCATCTGATTCAAGTAGCGAGAAACGTTACCCTTGTTCAAGTGAAGATCAATGGCACAGAATACTTCCGCAAGACCATCAGTGCCACGGGAGATCTGAACGTGACCGTCCTTTATCTAGGAGGATTACCTCAGGCGTCGCGATACATTCGCCAAGTCGATAGCAGACAGATGGAAGTACAGCAAACGCCGCAAATTAACTTCAAGGGCATTATCCAAGACGTGCAGATCTCAAATGGCACGAGAACGATGGTAGTGGAATTCTTCCCGCTAAAGGTAATTGAAGATCCTTTTCGATATTTTATTTTACTCTGTGCCTGTTATATTAATCTGAATTTTATGATTTAGATCTTAAACATTATTCCAACTTTTTATCACATTCCCTTTTCATATCGGCAACGTACTTTCATGCGAGATGTGTAAATAACTCTTGTTCTCTTTCAGGCACAAGACATTCCTGCACTTGTTCAGTTCGGCAATGTCTCCTTCGACTCTGAAAAAGTCCTCGAAGGCGTGGTGTCGGATGACGTGTGCGTGAGCAGCCCGTGCAATCACAACGGCACGTGTCACGTAACGTGGAACGACTTCTGGTGCCAGTGTCCGCGTGGTTACACCGGCAAAACCTGCCAGGAGATGGAATTCTGTCAATTGCAAGACTGTCCGGCGGGTTCACGCTGCCAGAATCTCGACGATGGCTACGAGTGCATCGCCAATGCGACCTTCGACGGCGTTTCCACTGCCTTCACGTACGTGTACGGCCACGCTACGGATGCCGTCAGTGACCTACCACTCGACACCATCGAGATCACCTATCGATCTAACACGGGTGGCACGCTGCTTCATATGGCTCCCCAAATGGGTGACCAACATTTCACCGTGTCCGTCTTAAGAGACACCGTCACTGTATCCTGGCGGCTCGATCTAGAGAACCAGGGTGTCGTCTCCTTCGGTAAGAGCCAACCCGACGGAAACTGGACTTCGCTGCTCATCAGGTTAAATAACAATTCCGTGGAATGCGGTTACGTTAATCCTACTGAGGAGCAGCCCCATGTGAATCCCAACTTCAGCTTCCAACTGTGGTACGATCTGCTGGTGACAGGAACGGTCACCCTCGGTGGACTTTCTTCCAGTGCCTTATCCGATAGGCACGCTTATCTCACTGTTGGATCCAGACACGAGAAGAGAAACAACGGAATCGAGGGCAATAGCGTGGATTACAATGAGCACAGGCTAACAACCGCTATGCCCCCCCATAGTATGATATCCGGTGCGTGTAACATTTTGACACAGAGTAGCTTTAAGTAGCTTTAAATGCTTATGTTGTATGTAATAAGTGTTGCAAAGCAATATCATAGTTTTCTTTATATAATATATCATTTTTAATGAAACACGCCAACTTCCAATGACTCTCGTTTCTGAAAGTTTGGAAAGTTTTAAATTTCGATCCTTATTCTTCAATCTACAACTTTCAATTGTCTCCGTAAAATTAATCGCTGTTTCTTGAAATCGGAGAATCATTCTGTTTTCTTTGCAGGAGAACCGTTTAAGGGCTGCCTTGGCGAAGTGCGTATCGGCAGCATGTTGCTACACTACTTCACGTACGAGGAGGTTTATCAGAACGCGAATTTCACTCCGTTGGAGTTCCTGGAGTTGCAGGGTAACGATAACGCCACTCATCGCGACAGTATCGGCTGCCAACTATGCTTCGACACGGACTGCAAGAACGACGGTTACTGCTTCGACAAAACCAACAGCTACGTGTGCGAATGTCCCGCGGGTTACGCCGAGGACGACTGCTCTTTTAACATTGACGAATGCGTCGACAACAAATGTCAGAACGGTGCGACTTGCGTCGACGGTATCGCGAATTACACCTGCGTGTGCAAGAACGGCTGGCAGGGATGGCTGTGCGTATTCTCTTCTCGTCAAGTTATTTTAGCTTTCTTGTATAAGGAAGAATTGATATTTTTTGTTACTATTATGTACAGCGAAATACTTTTTACAAAATATCGTTCATAATTTTAACAAATGACATTTTTACATAATTGAATTCGTTATAAATTAATTACTCATATACATTTATGACTTAAACAGAAAAAGATATTAACGATAATTAATTAATAATTGATAATAAAACCGTCCACATTATCAATGTCACTTTATACAAGAAATCACATTTCGTAGAACAACTACAAAATGTTTAAAAATCATCCTTATCATATTAGAGAATTACACACACACATACATATCACATCGACACTAAGATAAATTCCATAAAACTGTCTTCTCCAACAATTAACAAGGGTTTATGATTCGCTCTCTTATCGAATTCTTCTCCTATCTGATTACAGGTGCGATAGCGACATCAACGAGTGCGTAACGCTGAATCCGTGTCAACACGATGGCGTATGCGTGAACCTGCCAGGCTTGTTCAGGTGTGAATGTCCCGACCAATTCACCGGCGAACTGTGCGAAAGCTTCCGGCTGATCACCTGCGAGAACGAGCCGTGCAAGAACGGTGCGACCTGCGTGGACGTGCCGAATCCAAAGACGGGTGACAACTTCACCTGCAACTGCATGCCCGGCTACGACGGCCCGATCTGTGACACGCCCTATTGCATCCGCAGAAAGTGCCAAAACGGGGGTAGATGCGATTTCCTATATCAGGTATATAATCGCTCCTCTCCAGGGTTTGAAAAATCCCCGAGTTATCATATAATCAATTTTTTTATTAGATTCTTAATTAGAAGTCCTGGAAAATTATAAAAATTAAAAGTGATAAGTTTCTCAAGTCAATTGCTTCTGGATCCTAGAATTTTTGGGTTCCTCGGGCTTCACAATTTTTAATTTAAATTCCAGAAATCTGGAAAATCTTTAAATTTTCAGATTCTAATTTATATTTGAAATATATAATATTATGTATATTCGTAGTCCTATAATTTTATAACGTCTGAAAGATTCTTTCGTATCGTATTAAATCATTGTGTACATCAATTATTACTTTGTAAAATAGACGCCGAAATGCACCTGTCCTCTCGGTTACTCCGGCATGTACTGCGAGACCAACATTGATGACTGCGCGCCGGATTCTGAGGGCAATGTGCCATGCAAGAACGACGGCAAGTGCTCCGACGGAGTGAACAAGTTTATATGCGACTGTGATGGCACCGGATATACCGGAATCGATTGTTCCCTCGACGTAGACGAGTGTCAGAATCCGAAGACTGATTGTGGACACGGCAAATGTGAGAATCTGCCTGGCATCTATCAGTGCATCTGCGACTACGGTTATTGCGGCTACAATTGCGGCATGGAAAATCCCTGCCAGGAGGTGAGTCCTTTCGACACTTGCTGAGAAAGTAAAAACGTAAAAGAGCGTGATTCATGAGTGATTAAAGTGATTATTTCATGATAAACTCCTGTTTTGTTTTTACTTAATTACGTAATAACACTTGTTTCGATGTTCTTTTAGGATTTCTGTCACAATGGTGGCACGTGCGAATGCGCCAACGGTGGCGGGTACCTGTGTCGATGCACTCCTCATTATACAGGACAAAATTGTACAGAGGTAAGATTTGGAAAAAGATTTGGATCATGTACACAAATTGATTAACTAATAAATTGCATATGCACGTACATATAACTTAAGTTAGTTGTATAAATAAAATGATTAATTTATATATACCAATAACAAATAATTGTTTTTCAGCCGGAAAGTAATTATTTAAGCACCCAAGCTCTTGATATAATGGTAATCGTAGGCCCGATCGTGGGCTGTCTCCTCCTGATTGCCATTGCATCCCTTATAGCGCTCTTCATGATGGCAAGGAAAAAACGTGCGACACGTGGCACATACAGTCCGAGTGCTCAGGAGTTTAGCAATCCGAGAGTGGAGATGGATAATGTAATGAAGCCTCCACCGGAGGAGAGATTGATTTAATCGAATGCCAGCCGGAAGGATGTAATTAGGTAATGCGAGTGAATTTCGATATGTGGAAGTTACTTTTTGAAAGAGCAAATTCTATTGTGAGCGAAAGAGAGGTAACGGGAGAATTAAATGGTACAATTTCTTTTTCTAAAGTTAAATTTATAATCAATCTATTTAATTATAAATTTCTTTGCTCACGATTGCTTAGCTGCGGATTTAGTGTTTTACAAATGCAAATCTTTTCATATATCGAAGGTTATTTGTGTAGCCTAGTCTTCCGAAAATGTGATTCATCATTGCGAAGACTTTTGACTGAAAGCACGCAGATCGCTCGACGAACAGCCAAGTCGTTGACGTGAAACAATTACTGATCGCGTCTTCTAGTCCTCGCTGTTTCGTCGTTACAAAAAAAAATAGACAAATTAGAAGGGGAGAATTTATTGTAAGATTAAATTTCAGATTCTTTGAAGATTTATTAGAAAATTTCCATCGAGTCCTTTTACTTCGTTGTTTGTGAGAGAATTGCATAGGCAATGATTCTAAGATTAATAATAAATTTAATAATAAACATTTTACGACAACGACACATTTTTCGACAATCCTTCCGAGAGAGGGTGATTGTCATTCAAGCGGATTCGAAAACTTGGCATTACGTTGAAATCTAAGAAAGTCGACGTTTTGTTAGAGTGTCTCGGAGAAAGAACACATTACGTGCATGAATTTATATTTAAAAAATAATAAACATGATTTCTTTAGTTGAATTTGAGGGACCAATGAAGATGTTGTAAGATTCGAGGATTCGAGGATTTAGAAATTCAATAATTCTAAAGATTCGACAAGTCCGAAAAGCGGATAAGAACCAAAAAATTAGAAAATTATATAAATTTAAGAATTCTATAAATTGTAAGAATAAAAAAATAAGGGGAGAAAATATTTCAATCATCACATAATGCTCGAATAATAAGGTTTTATCGAGTAAGAAAATGAAATCTATGCTTCTCTTTCTCTGGGATACCCTGTAAATAATACGCGTAAAATAAATCACGTAGGTAGATTATAATAAAGTGTACTTAAAGCTCTCAAAAGTGTCCTTAAGACGTTAAGCAATACTCGAAGGAGGCGAATCCGAGCAAACAGACCCGTCCATTTTAGTGCCTAATCTATACTCTACTTAAAAAGATATTATTTATAAGCTGCGATGCATGCAATATCGGTGGACGAAACGAAACAGAGGAAGCAAGTAGGACGTTTCCAAAAAAAGCATACGACTTAAACACATGAGAGATCTCGAGAATAATGCATAATGTTCTTACGCTTGCAAAAGAATGGGTGAATTAAAAGAAATTTTATTTGTCCCGATTTTCATTAATTCACTTTCGATTCCTATCTCATTTTTAATATCATTTACTGTTTGCTTTTATTAAACTTGTCATAATCTATTCTATTTCACTTTTATCGTAGTTGTTTCGATTTTAGTTAGATCTTTTATTAATTGAATTGCAATAAAATTCTCTTTTAATTTGCCTATCTTCGCAGGAATTATATACGTTAAGTATTAAATATCGTCAGACAGCGACACATATTCCGACTTACTGTAAAAAACCGTCGATACTGTCGAGCGTTTCCGATGTCAACGTAAGAAAGGAAAATTCTGAACGCGCATGGAAAAACTCGCATTATTGCGCGCCTGTTAATTCTGTACATAGACATAGCTCGTAAGCCGAAAAGATTATTAACGACTTTATCATATTTAGGATTTTATATGATTATTAGATATTTAACAATAACGAACGTATTAATCGATACGTACTTATACTACCACGACCAAAGTAGCGACGAGGCGATATTTTATGTTATAAGATTTTACTCTGTAAAAATCATCTTGCAACTTTATAAGAGTTTGATTTTTCACTTACAAAGCATTTGTGTTCAAGACTGAGTTCCCAGCGTCTGAAATAAGAGAAATGAAGAAAAATCCAGATGTATATGTAACATACCGAATACATACTTTCCATATTTATACATTCGAAAGAAGTAAGTGTTAATTGCGTCTTTTTATAATCAATTTTATCAATGTCAAAATGTATAAAAATTCCGAATATGTTCAGGTAAATTAATAATTATTTAAAACTATATAAAATTATTTATACGCGTAACTTTTATTTAACCGTAAATAATAATCTAAATCCTCGGCATACAAGTCGAAGAGAATAATACAATAGATTTGAGCGCGTTTTATTCGGTATGATCGAATCGAAGATATGCAATACAGTGCGTTACACAAGTAGGCATAGTGACTCCAAGCGGACGAATAAATGTACAAAATCAATAAACGTATGTATAAACAAACTAATTGATTAACGCATTAACAAACATCTTTATCTTTATTATTCCATAAAATACATATTATTCCACAAAATACAGACCAGCTAAAATAATATATAATATATGTATAATATGTCATGATTGATAAAATTTCTAAAAGCTATGTACATGAGCTAAAAAATAATCGACTGGACTTAAATATACGATCAATGATGTTTCAGAAATTAAAACTTTTTACAATCTTAATATTAGAACTTTTCAATCGGTTAGTAAAAAGAAATTAAGTGAATTGAGCAGTTTTCAGATCTAGCCTGCGTTCTTGCCGTTCACCTTGCTTAATTTGTTGCGTGATATATTGTCAAAGAATAAAAGCCCGGCAGCGCGTTCGATGCTGTCTGGCGGCACCTGTTCAAAAATTGATCAAATTCTTATATTACATCTTGTTATAAATTGAATTAATTTAATATGTCGCTCTTTTTACACTCATGCAATTATTCTGATATGCTTAGTTATAATATCTTCTACTAATTAATAAGCAGTTTTATTGACAATTTAATTACGTTCATACTGCAATGCACATAGTTTAATATCATTTTCACATTTTATAATTTCTTTTATAATTTTCTAGATTGCAAAGCAGTACCTGAAAATTAGTGAGTGGCGCGTTATCGTCAATTGGTGTGTTCGGCATCACAAACGCTTCCATTTCAAGCTTGCCGTCGCTGGTTTCACCGACAATCACCTTGTAAAAGTGCGTAGGCACCGCCACATGATTCGCGCCTATCACCTCGTAGCGCACATATTTCTTTCCATCCGCTTCTCTTCTATAAATGCACATAACAATACAAAGGTGGACAAGATTCAAAGCAAAACTAGAAAACGCCAGCAAGCAAACGGACTTGGGAAGGTACAGCGGCCCTGTGCACACGTAAACATCCTTGTAGACGTTTGTCAATTTCCGAACGTGTTTCTCCAATCTATTCCAGGAATCTCTATTGAAGCCCTTGCCGACTTGCGGTGCCATGTTGGTGAGGAAAAAGGTTTGCTCCATGTGTTTCTGTTCCACTTTGTGATTTCCAGCCGCCGCTAGATGACCACGATCATAGCCGCTTCCCTTGTAGTCCGTATTGTCTGATCTGTCGGCACCATTAAAATTAAGACTCAATTAATCTCGACAAATTAATTCAATCAACGAAATCAAATTGATAAAAACTTTCTCTTTTAGATCTCCCAGAAAAATTAAATATATCAAAAATTGTACATTTCCTCACCTGAAGAAAGGGTGTATACTCTGATCAGGTTTGAACTCGCACCTGGAGCGATCCACTTCCTTGTTGCATTGCAACCTCTCCTTGGTCAAGTGTTCAAACACCCAATGAGCAACTTTGTTTCGCCTGTCGTAAGAGAGCACAAAATCCTCGTACGACCTGACATGATCCAATCCGGGAAAACCAAATTTCATAATCTGCCGCAATATTACCAATATCCAATACGAACATTAGAACATGACAGCGTTACAAGTAATCGCAAAGTTTTCACGCGTCGAGAAGTGACCGAACGTTAATTTCTCTCGCGCTTGATGCTACCAGATTATCTATTTCTAAATGATTACACGCCAATCTATTGTCAAATTATTTCTTCCGTCTGTCTCTAATGAATAAATGTAGGGGGTTGATGGACGCTTGACCCGGGCCTCGATTTTCACCCACCTGCGACACCCTCGTAGCGATCGAGGACAGATTGGAGCCCATGTCGCAGCTCTTTTCGGAAGGTGTGAAGGGGGTGGCCGCCGAAACCGTGCCGAACAGGGGCAAACCTGGCATATTTTGCACCGCCGACAACACACTCGTTCCACTGTCCGTCGAATATCGCCTCTGTTCGGAGAACTTGCCCAGATACCAGCCTCCCATACCCACGCTGGTCAGAGCGGCTAAATTCAATGCTAATTGCTTCATCCCGTTCATGTTTCTTCTCATTATCCTCCACGTGGTGTGTCGCGCCGTAACGACGAGATCGGGGAAACGTGTCCGAAGAGGTGCGAGGAGGGTTAGAAACTCAGAGTCGGGTCAGGTTAGAGTAAAATCCTTCGACTGTGACGTATGCAATGCATGGTGTCTCAGGTGCACGTGTATACATTTTTTTATTTTTCAACAATCAATTTTTATCATGACAGAACTAATTTTGGTGGTTTCATATGAATTTAGAGATTTTATCCCTGGTGAAAATATTTATCAGAATTTTTATACGAATTGGTATACTTTTCAGAAATATGGAGATAAATTCTAAGAAAAATTTTCACCAAGAATTAGTTGGAAAATTACTTGATTTTTCCCGGCATCTAATAAATATAATGGAAATTCTACGTTTCTACACACACATTGAAGTACGTTGATTTTCATTTCCAATTATTTCTTGTTATTAAACTTACACGATATGGGAAAGAAGCAAGTGAACAAAGGCAGTGACTTCTCACACACTACTTAGTTTTGTATAAAAATCCTGTATTTACAATAACATTTTTACAATTGGAACAACTTATATACAACGCGTCCGACTCGAGATGCCTCTACTTCGGACACAAGTCTCTTTAAGATAACTGCGTTCCAATCTTGTCTCTGAAATGATTTCACTAAACCGTCCAAATTTTTTGGTCCCAAATAACTAAACTTATTTTTTTTTAATGAGTATGTTAACCAAGAGTAATGAAAGCTTACACAATGAATCGCTTAATAAGTAATGAAAGCTTACACATTGAATCGTTTAATAAGACTGAAAGAACATGATACGTTAATAAATTATAAGACTTTCTATTTAAAAATCTCTATATGAAATTATACAAGAATTTAAGATTTAGTTACCAAATGACCGTATACACATATCGCTTTTCATGTAAAAGAAACTGGTCGTTGATATAAAGAAAGAAATGTTATTTAAACAAATACATTAATAACATAATTTACTTTAAACATTATCTTGGTTAATCTTTCAGAAAATATGTTATGAAATTATAAAGAATTCTAGTATTAAATAAATTTTTCTCCGATTTATCGTTATAGATATTCTTCCAACTCTCGCAAGATAATATTTAATCACTGTTATTTTCATCAGAATCCTCTACCAGGATAACGTCATGGCCAGGTAACATTCGAGGGTCAAAAGTACTGTGAAAGCATTTCTGGAACACCAGTTTTGCTCTCTTGGCCGCTTGACGACGCGGCGGCGACTGTGGTACGCTCTCTTCCAGATCAACGAGCTCTTCTTCCTCCGCGACTTCTTCCTCCTTCTCGTCATTCCTCGACTTCCTCTTTGTGATGCTTGAAAATACTGAATTTATTAGCTTTCGTTGGCTGTCTAAAACCTTTCTATCAGTCGCCGAAGATGTATTAGCAGGATTGGGCGTGACGGAGCGACGACTCTGTTCCGGCATATGCAAATTCCTTTCTCGAACGTTACTTATAGAATTATTTACGGAAGCAACGTTCACAGAAGTATTTTGGTTAAGCGTTTTGTTCGACTGATTTCTCTCTTCTGTTGGTTTACTCTTGAGTACGTCATTGACTTTAGGTTTCGTAGGTTTCGTAGGTTTCTTCACTCGACTGGAGGATTTGTTGACGCACTTGGATGTACTTTTTGAGGAAGCATTCCTTCTTCGAACAGGTCGCATTTGTCTGCTGACGAGCGACACATCCGATTGACTGTCACAGTCTGGATTCAGGGTTGATAGCAATAAGTTTGTCTCGAAGGCTTGACTCTTCAGCGTAAACAATATTGGCCTGAAAAATGTGATGCACGAGAGATAAAGAATTATTGAAATAGAGACGCGCACAGATTTTATATCACTGAATATATGTGAAAGCAATATTTTAATCTTCAACTACTGGAGTGTTTACTTAACATTAAATAAAAGAGTTTAAAACTTGGATGTATACCTTCCAGCTGTTCCAAAACTTGCAGTAACAGGGACGCTCGCGGTCTCGCTGAAAGCGAGCAAAGCTCTGGCCTCTTTCAAGCAAAATGTAACGCTTGTTTCGTTCTCAATTGCATAACGATCGAATTCCCCGACACCAAGAGCCAGCTGGGAACGAGTAATATTCACCATGGCTGTAATACGTAACTATAGCATTAATTGACATTAATTGACGTAAATTCACAATACTATTAGTTACCACATTGTTTTGCGCTTTATGTTTATATTATATAGGAGTAGGACATTTGGTCTACCTGACGTATCATCCACATAGTTCCTGAGCAACAGCTTCTGTGGCGTTACCTCGAGCGTTATTTCGAACAAATTTTGTGGAAAATTTTGCAAAGCCTCCGTCAATGTTCGAGCCACAAATATCAACTCGTTGGACATACCAGCCTTGGTGTACGACGCCTATTTAATCCACAGTCTCATTACTTGATACAATCACTAGTTTAGATGAAAACGTGATTCCCAGATGTTTGTTTTATAATGCTGAACAGTTCTTATTAAATTTTCGGAATATTTGGCCATTTTGTAATTAGAATTAATCAGGTTCCTTTTCAAAGTGTTAAGCTGCGAAATCGCATCTGAGAATCAAGTATAATGAAAAAGAAATGTCCTCAGTGTACTTGCAACTTTTCAGAATCCAAAATAGGCGCCAGGTGGGACTTTTTGATGCCGTTTTTATACTTTAGGATAAACACCAGATCGCAGGCGTCTACCTCCAACTGGATGTGGCAAGTCTCCACTTGCTTGTCCAATATATGCGCAGATTTGAAGACTGTCATCGCGCTCTGTAAATCACAGATTAAACATCGTGTACGCAAACGCAGCCGAAACGGATATTACCCTCATCGAGATCTTGCACTTCTGCGCCTCTTCTTCCTCGAGATTGCCAAGAGCGTAGTAGGAGAAGAAATTCTTGTGGAATGTGAAGTCGGAATACGCCGATTTTGCCATGTTGACTGTGCGAAAAGAAATGTACCCCTCCTGCGGATTCACGTACATCTCGTCTCCAATCTTCGCCAGCATGTGTATCGCCTTTGCCAGGACTGCGTCAATCGGAAAACGCCAATTAGCAATTCGTTGTAAAGAAATTAAATTGTGAATTGAAATTATGAAATTATTAATCTCAAGCTGTTCTGGTACGCGTTAAAGTTTTCGAGAGGTTTCGTTTAACTCGTAGTAACGTCCAATGCATATTTTTCCACTGACAATAAAACATGCGGTACAAAACAAACAAGTGGAGGATTGCATTAGCCGAGCAATGGGAAGTGCTAAAATTAAGGCTGGTCTACAATACATGGAGTAAGCTGGAGTAAGGAGTAGGAGTAAGGAAATAAATCCATTTTATTTCTTACTCCTACTCCTTACTCCAGCTTACTCCAGCTTACTCCATGTATTGTAGACCAGCCTTTAAATTGATGCTTTGCGTTTGTAAAACAGCGATTCTCATTTGCGTAACACAAATTAATAGAGTGAATCAACATACTTTTGACGTTCCCGCCAGGTAGGACGCATTTCATGTCGAATACTTAGTATTCTACGCGCGAGCGATACTGCGAAAAGTATAAAATGGCTCACGGTCCAATAATTCTCCCAGAACAATGTACTGCTCATTTGAACTTTGACGCCATAAATAGCAACAATTTCAAAACTCATTCAAGGCGGAAAACTGAATAGGTTGTGTCATAGATAGGATCGTGTTAGAGATCCGTAACTGCGAGTGAAATTTTAGCACCCAGAAACGTCAGGGGCATGGTATAAAGATACAAGGTGAAGCAATCTGGTGGGTGCGCAGTGTCAACCAATCAGAGATGGCCCAAACTATCGAACTGACCAATCAGAAATTTGCCCCAAAAATTGGCTACATGAGCAATGTTTCACCTTGTATCTTTACACCCATGGTGGAAATAACAAGGTGAAGCATTCCCGATGCTGCGCACTCGTTCAATTTTGTAAGCCAATCATCGCGCGACCCATTTTGCAAGGAAAGTAAAGCCCGCTGCAGACGATGCTATTTTTCCTGCTGGATTGCTTACGATTTACTAAACTACTAGGAATCCTGAGTGCTGAGTGGTGCAACGATAGTAATTTACTAAATCGCAAGCAATCCAGCAGGAAAAATAGCATCGTCTGCAGCGGGCTTAATATGGCTGCTTCCATCAGCGCCTGTCATCCATCACGTCGTTTGATGTTTACGTCCTTTCTTTAAATATTGCATGAAAACGAAGTGAACAAAGCTACATATGCAATAAGTAGTAAATATAATTAATGTTGAGATATCATATTACTTCATGTGTTTAATAATATGTTTAATAATATAAAGTGGGCGCCTTCAAAATGGGTCGTCTTCTGATTGGTTTAACCGTCAAAGCTGCCGCCATTATGCGCAATGCTTCACCTTGTTATTTCCACCATGTTTACACCATGGTCAGGGGCCTCAGAATACCCTAGGGCACGTGCTGTCTCTATCATACCTTAGGTGTACGCCTCTCTGTATGTTTGACATTTCCGCCTTCTGTGCGTTATATGTATATTATAGAAATACAGCAGATATTGTTATCGCGGGATTACAAGTATCGAAATATATTAGCCTAAGAATTTAATTACGAAAATCATGGTGAGTACCCAACGCAAAAGCAGCCCGTAAATGTGCTGAAGGTCGAAAACAAGTCGTTTTAGTAATCTAACCTTAAAGCAGGCGGTGTCTGTTTCAACGTAGCATTATATGTTATTTTATCATCTCTGTCGTACGTTAAATTTTTATATCGTGTAATCAGCAAATCTTCTTATACACTTTTTATTCTTTAATCGCCTTCACTTACGAATGACAGTTCAATAGTTGATTTTAGTTTATCTCAATGATTTTATAAATATATCAATTCCCACCACAGAGTTGCTAAATTTAAAATGTATCTGTACATGTTTTTTATTCGATTCGAAAAACGCAAAAATTACGCAATATAATGGCACGCAAAAGCCTTTAAAAAGTTGTATTCCAAAGCGGAAATTAATCTTTTGTAGCTTGTGTTGGTATTGGGAGACTTGCATATTCCACACAGATGTAGTAGCCTTCCGAGTAAATTCAAGAAGCTGCTGGTACCAGGAAGAATACAGCACATCTTATGCACCGGCAATCTTTGTACGAAAGAGTCCTATGACTATCTCAAGACGCTGGCCAGTGATGTTCATGTAGTCAGAGGAGATTTTGACGAGGTACATATTGATCTAACAATTTTATTTAATCACATTAACACATAGAACAATATTTATTAGTTAAAGTAATTTAAATACAATGAAATATGTATACATACATCGTGCAAAATTAAAGGCAAGAAAAATGAGCAAAATTGTCACATATTGTGATTAACTAAGTTAAATTGCAACGCAATTATGAATATTATACATTAAAGCGAAGAATTTTATTTGCAGAATTTAAATTATCCGGAACAAAAAGTAGTTACTGTGGGCCAGTTCAGAATAGGACTCTCCCATGGGCATCAAGTAGTACCATGGGGCGATCCGGAATCTTTAGCCTTGATACAGAGACAACTAGACGTCGATATTCTCATATCGGGACATACACATAAATTCGAAGCTTACGAGCATGAAAATAAATTCTACATCAATCCTGGGTCAGCTACCGGAGCTTACAATCCTCTAGATACGTAAGTTTCTTTGAGATGTATAAATGATATAAGAATAAACATGGAAGCATATTTTCAGAAAAAAATTACTTTTTTCCAACAATTCAATTCTCAGAAATACTATCTTTTTTATTTAATCGTGTGATGTAATCTTTTAATTATTAATTTATAAATTATATTCTTTGTAAAAGGAAATATAATTTACAACGATAATTTAATAAGGAAATCCTGTATGAGAATACTATTTTAATCGTAATTTTTTCTTTTTAGATCAGTTATACCATCATTCGTATTGATGGACATTCAAAGCTCAACAGTGGTTACTTACGTGTACCAGTTGGTTGGAGACGAAGTTAAAGTGGAAAGGATTGAATACAAGAAGAGTTAGAGTCGATAGAAATTTCAGAATATATCTGTTATAGGTATAGCCGGTATTAGTCGGTTCTTATTTCAAAATCGTCTCAACTAAGATGTTAATACGGCTTGTGATTGGTTTAAAACACATTAAGACTACTTAAAATGGTCTTAAATATAAGGACGGACTATGAATTCGATCTATATCCGAGACTCGGTAAGAATGTATGAATATTCAATATTTGCTAGATACTTTTAATCGGTCTCGGATTGATTAATTAATTAGCATTTAAGTGTGATTATTGAATCGTATATTTGTTGTAAATAAATCAATATCAATATTATATGTACAGTAAGCACTTTCAAATTAAAAAATACATCGATAGACAATTATCTTCATCACTTCGAAAAAACTTAAATTAACGAAAGTAATGTTCGAGACCGTTTAGGCAATGTGAGCAGTCACCCGTTGAAAATGATGTAAAAAATTTTATATATATATATATATCGCATTGGTATTAGATTTTTAATCTGAAAAATCACATTTAAGTTGTTTTGTATAGGAGCCTTATTTAAATTTTCTACTTCGAAAAAAATTCTTAATAGGTTTTCGTATACAATTTTATAAAACTATGTTATATAGCTTAGTATATAGCCGCTATAATTCCTTTATTTCCATAGAAAGACACGACATGAAAAATGGAACAATGTTTCTTCCTGCTTAGAAATATGTGATAAGAAAAATAAAGACGCACGTAACTTGTAATAGAGCAATGAGATTTAAATAATATCAATTACTGAATTTGACTCATTTAATTATATTTTTATAACAAAAGAGAACATCATTCCACAATACAACATTCATTCCGGCAAACGCTCAGGTAAAGATTTATAAATAAAAAATAATAAACAATTGCCCGTTATTCTATCATTTTCTAGATTTTCTCAAAAGAGTAAATCCTTCGCCAGTAAACGCCTTAAATTCGTCTGGATCCTTTATCTGAAACGATACAAGCTAATATTAATCATGATACCATGAAGATTATGCGCAATTTAGATTGCTACATATTCTATATATCGATCATTCTAAACTTTCATATGCCGCGATACAGAATTGCAATTTGAGTCCCTACCTCCTTGTTATTGACTGGCTTCATGTTTCGCAGGAACCTAAGAGTGCCTATTTGATATTCATAATCGGGTATTCCCCTAACATAGGTCGGCTTGGTGGCTACAGCTTCCTGCTTGGGCATGTCCTTGCGCTTTTTACCGTCCAGCCGGACGCCCTCGCCCTGAAAAGGCACAAAGCCAGTCTGCGCCGGCATCAAATCGGCCAGGTGCTCTATTTCATCCTCTCCCTTCTTGGCCTCCCTTATTGGCTCCTTATAGCCCACCGGTGGCGCAAACTCCACGTTCATGTCGCATTCAATGATGCTAACTGCCGGGCCAGGCCTGGTTTCGAGCACGCACATCTCGTAGATCTTTTGATTGTACTTGATCGCAATTACGTCGCCTGTGGTTAAGCAGGCGAAGCTGCGCAGACCGTTCTCCAACACGGCCTTGGGATTTGTAATATCCAAAAAGTCCTCGGACTGCGGTTGAAAACGTGAGAATGTCGCAACCGGTAGCGACACGCTTTCTACATTCAACAGCTCGCCTTCCTCCAGCAAAAGATTATGCATCATCTACGATGAGATATAGTGATCTATAATTTATCTATTGCCATTGCTGTTCCTTGCATATACATATATAAAATGCAATCCATACTAACCCAATAAGGTAAATAGACTTTGCCTTCATCGGCGATAAACTCCAGTACGCCACAGTGAGTAATTCTGTTGGTTTTCTTGTTGGTCAGTTTGAACAGCATTGGGTAGATGATATTGAGCCTGGTGAGCTGTTCCAGAGCAGACGGTGGCATGATTACTGAAAGGGAATAGACCAATATGCAAAACATCTCTCTTAGTTTTCATCTATCAGTGACACTCACTCTTGCCACCGCGCTCGACGTCCTGGCGATAGGTCCCAGGCAACATCGATACTGAAAAGCATTTGTACTGGGTATTGAAGGGCCGCGGAATCTCCGGGAACATGTTGAACCCGAACTGAAACTGGAAAGTCATCCTCCTGAATTGTTAACCTCAATTATTCTCCTTTTGACAAGCAAGATCGTGGAAAAACTTGCGCAGTTTCCCCGATAACCATCGACTTCTCCCGCACTCTTACCATGTTTGCGGTTCGCTGAGTCTCTTGGCGAGTTTTCTTTTTTTATAGGGCTTTTTCTATAGCGACAACACAACTGCTACGAGAGAGTCACGTCAGTCGCGACATTTGTATGTATGTACACACACACATTTGTACGCATACCCCATTTTATACCTACATACAGCAGACGACGCTGCGCGCAACGTGAGGCGCGGGCAACTAATCATTGCCTCGAGAACATGGTCGTAGAAATACCTAGACGGAGCATATGCCGCGAGGAAGGTCCACAAAGAGTGAAGGGAATGACATGTCAATTGTAACGGACAAGATGGCAACACTCGATCGTGTCACGTATAGAGACCGTGCCTAATCGAAAATTGGTGAAGTATCAGGAGAAAATGATCTGTAAAGAGGTGGCACTATCTAAATTTCTAAGAATTGGAATTCCGAGATTTTCAAACTTCAAATCGCGAAAACCAAGAATCACGAAAACTGGCAAAGTATCAGGAGAACATGATCTGCAAAGAGGTGGCACTATAAAAATTTCCAAGAATTTTTCACAATTTCCAAGAATTGGCGTTCCGAGAATTTCAAGTCGCTAAAATCGAGAATCTCGAAAACTGGCAAAGTATCGGGAGAACATGATCAGCGAAGAGGTGGTACTATCTAAATTTCCAAGAATTTTTCACAATTTCCAAGAATTGGAATTCCGAGAATTTCGCGAAAATCGAGAATCTTGAAAACTGGCAAAATATCAGGAGAACAAGATCAGCGAAGAGGTGGCACTATTTCAATTTCCAAGAATTGAAATTCCGAGAATTTCAAACTTTAAATCGCAAAAATCGACAATCTCGAAAATTGGCAAAGTATCAGGAGAACATGATCAGCGAAGAGGTGGCACTATCTCAATTTCCAAGAATT